AAAAAAAAAAAAAAAAAAAAAGAAGAAGAAGAAAAGAAAGAAAGAAACAATGAGAACAAGAAAATGTTCTAAAAATGTGATAGCTAAAATGAACTTGGTGAAGGGTTGGAAGAAAACATTAAGGAAATAGTCCAAAAAGTAAAGCAAAAAAAAAAAAATGAGAAGAAATAAAAATGAATCCAGAGTTTCTAATATCTGTCATAGGTCTTCCAGAAAGAGAGAACAAAGGGATATAAGAGAGGAAATTATCAAAGAAAAAGTTGAAGAAATATACATCCACATTAAAAGTAGTCACTTAGAGGCTGGAGATGTAGTTCAGTTGTAGAGCACTTGCCTAGCCTGTGCAAGGCTCTGGGTTCAATCCCCACTAAACCACGAAAATAAAGAAAAAACAGTAAAGGTCACTTCATACCAAACACTGGAAGACAAAATAACCTCAATAAGGCATGTCATCAGGAAATATTAAAATACCTAGGAAAAAGAGATCTTGAAAGATTTCAGGAAAAAAAAATTTCAAGATGACATTGGAATTATTGGAATTCTTTTTATTTATTTATGTTCTGATGGCACTGGGATTTGAACTCAGGGCTTTAGAGCAAAGTAGGTGCTCTATAACCTGAGCCACACCACCAATCCATTTTGCTCTGGTTATTTTGGAGATAGGGGTGTCATCAACTGTTTTCCCAGACTGGCTTCAAATCATGATCCACCTTATTTCAGCCTCCCAAGTAGCTACTATTATAGGTGTGAGCCATTGGCGACCAGCAACATTGAAATTCTTGATAGCAACACTGGATGCTAAAAGACATGAAGCAGTGGTTTCATTCATACATTAATTCTTAGGAAGTTACTTCAGAATATGCATCATGAAAACAAAGGAGTAAACCAAGAAAATGGGACAACGTGAGATCTAACATAAGGGAGATTAGAAACATTCCCAGGATGGTGGCCCAAGAGTATTTTCAGGTTATGGCTAGACAAACATGACTGTAGAACAACTAGTCCAGACTGGAGCAGAGCTCATGTTCCAGAAAAGATGTAGCCAAGAGATTATTGTAGCCAAGTAATTATTGCAAGTTTGACCTATAGAGAACTCTATGAGGTATTTTATAGTGCTATTGAAGGGTATGTAAAAAGACCAAGAAAAATAAAGGTGAGTAAAAGTGATGGTTGTGGACAGCGATAGTTGTCTTGTATTTGATCTTTCAAGGGGGAAGATTGTTCATTATTTTACTGTATGTATGTTATTAGCTATAAGTTGTTCACAGATGCCTTTCCTCTAATTGAGAATTTTCTCATATTCCTAGTTTGCTAGACATGTTATTAAAGTACATTAATTTAAAATTTTATTAACCATGAAAAACTGTTAATTTTGCAGAAGCAGAGATTGATATTCGTTTGAGGGAAGAATTTTCTAAAATGTGTTTTGAAACATTGCTCCAGTTTTCCTTCAGTAATAAAGTCACAACACCTCAAGAAGGCTACATCTCACGAATGGCACTCTCAGTGCTTTTAAAGAGGTCTCAGGATGTACTACATCGATATATAGAGGATGAAAGGTTAAGTGGGAAATGCCCCCTCCCAAGGTATATATTGTATTTTATTAAAGGAGATGTCCTGATGTCATAATTATTTACAAAGAAAGCTCTGAAAACCAGGTATTTTTATATATGATCTAGACTAACCTGAGGCTGTTTATAATTTTATTTACCCAGTACAGTGTAAATATTCATAGGTTTTGTTGCAGATATGTGTTTTATTATGTGGTGCCATTTCAGACCCCTCATAGGTGTGAAGTAATACATGATATATGTACCAATATATTATATATGTACCTTTTTGAATCTGAAGAAAGTTTAATTCCAAAATATATATTTTACCTAAGATTTCTGAATAAGGACATGCAGTTCTGTATGAGCACATGATCTTATTTCTCTAAAGTGAAAAATAATAGATAAGTCATATTCTAGGAATATGTTTGTTTTATATTTCTCAGTGTCTATGTCAGCTAGCCATATCTTAGGTCTTCTTTTCATCTTATCTGCTTAATTAAGCCCTTGAACCGAAACTGGTACTGTCTCATATGTCCAAGCTATGTGAGTGGAAGGAGCTCTAGACCTTTCTGCCAAACCAAGCTATCAAAGTTGAAGTATAGGCTTGAATTCATCAAAGGATACAATCAGAGTGGGTTGCCACTCTATTTTTTAAATGTAGATACTAGGGTTTAAGTCAAAGCAAATGAAACAAGCAAAAAATATTATGGGAGAACAAAGTTAGCAAAGTCAGGAAAGAGGACTATCTTTATGGTTTCTGCCCGTAAGTTACCATGAGGGGGCAAATCACTTGCCCTGAATTTTTGTGTATATTCTTTTTTTTTTTCTTTTGTTTAAATTTTTATTTTATTCATATGTGCATACAATGTTTGGGTCATTTCTCCCCCCTTCCCCCCGCCCCCTCCCTTACCTCCTTTGCCCCCCTGTCCCTCCCCCTCTTTACCCCCCTCCCTCCCTTAGACTGCCTTACCCCTCGCTACCCTGCAGAAACTATTTTGCCCTTATCTCTAATTTTGTTGAAGAGAGTATAAGCACTAATAGGAAGGAACAAGGGTTTTTGCTAGTTGATTTCCTGTACATGTGTGTTACCTTCTAAGTTAATTCTTCTCCAGCTAACCTTTTCTCTAGTTCCTAGTCCCCTTCTCCTATTGGCCTCAGTTGCTTTAAAGTATCTACTTTAGTTTCTCTGCATTGAGGGCAACAAATGCTATCTAGTTTTTTAGGTGTCTTACC